TCTCCCAGGGTTTCTGACCACTCCCATTTAAAAAGTTTTGAGTTTCCCAATATTTCGGATTTTGCTGATGCCAATTCCCTCCCCATCTCTCTGTCGCTCCACCTCCCAGTCAACCCCTTCCTTCTCCCTGGTATTTCTCCCTACCCCGAGGAGCCCTCCCCCTGTGCATGATGCAGCCCATCTCCACCCACACCATTTCTTAGGTCAGTGTGATCTTCTAATGACATTTCTTCAGTTAAATCACTCATGCATTACTAGGTCAGTTTTTACAATTCCCAAGTTTGTGCTCCAGCAGGACTGCCCATTTTCCTGGGGACACTGCCAACTTGTGCTACAGCCTCAACATACCTGGCACAGCCCCTCATACACAGAAAGGACTCGGTGAACAGCTTCTGATTTACAAATCGGTCAGGCATGACACAGACTGAGACATCTGCCATGCTCCAACAAGAGAAGAGGGAAAAGACAGGATAGAAACATTTATTTCTGTCTATGCAAGTTGAACGGCAAGTGCATAGAAGTGGGCACAGACATTAAAAAGAAAACAATTCTCTAGCACTGGAATAGAGGTACCATTCAGCCTCTCCCCTCACTGACTAGGTATTCACAACAACTGCCCCATAATGTCAGCCACGCTCCCAGGAGAGAGCCCATTAAGAATGTCACCAATTCATTTTAGTTTGGTTGATAATTAATGTAGCTACCTCTGACATTAATTCCCTATGGATTAGCATATGAATAGAGCATAATCCACAACCTCTCTAAAACATTCTATACATGTATAAAGGCTTGTGGTCTTGTTTCGAGCAATTTCCAAATGAAATTTTTTGTTCGCATCTCTCCTCTGCAGGTTGTCCGCATCACCACTGTCACCTCACGCCATCTCTCATCCCAATCCTGGTCCCTGCTCTCTAATAAAAGGCAAGAGCAAGGGACTGAGGAAGAAGAATGTACTGGAGAAGGTCTTTGAACACAACTCTCCGCATTTACCCATGACAAAACGGAGGATACTGGGAAAGAACAAACAGATATGATCAAATTGATTAACATTCTGCCTTCTCCATTTACTGTGTGATCTAACCTCACCAGGCTTGGGTTTCTACAACTGTAGAAGGGAAATTTCATCCCTCCCAGGATTGTTTTTCGGGTTAAGATGGGATGAGGAATACAAAAGCCCCAATCAGACCGCCGGCAGGTGCTCAGAGAAGTCCAGTGAGAGACCAAAGCTTCCCTGCTGCTACCCTCCCATTCTTCAGAGGCAGGGACATTTATGGCAGCCCAAGCCTCCAGTTCATACAAAAGGCAGGCGGGGGCAGAGGGAGCCACTGACAAGGCAGTAAGGGCTAATGAAACCACAACTGCCATCTGTTCTTTTCTTTCTGAGCGTCTCTGAGACAACAACTTAACTCCAAGGACACTGTTGTTAGCCATCAGGGTAGAGCTGCAGGAAGCAGAGACTGCGGGGAGGGCAGAGACTCCTTCCCCAGCTCCCCAGGATTAGGGATGCAACAGCTGCCCAGCTGGGCATCAAACACCTTTCATTCTCCCTCTACCCACCACACAGTTCTCAGGCAGAAAATATCTGTTCAGAATTTGCACCCACCAAGAGAAGCAATAAAAGGGCTCTTGCAAAGCTAAACGGATGTGGCTTTTAAACACACATGCACACACACACCACACAGAGTCCCTTTCTACACACCCCGCCTCTCTGGGACACTCTCCATCAAAGCAAAGGGACTTCTCAGGAATCCCCACCACCACCGCAGGGAAAGGCGGCCACATCTGGAAGAAAGCCCCTCCTGCCCAGCCCAGGTCTTCACTGCTCTGTTTAATGGTTCTCCCAGCAGCTAACGCTAGATGACAAAGTTGGCCCACAAAGTTACAGCAATTCAGGCAATAACTATGTAACACAGGCCAGAAGAGGCTGGGCTCACAGCGCTTCCTTTCCTCTAGGGAGCTCCATTTTTCTAAGATTATTATTCCTTGGGCTGGCTGCTCAGCTACTCAGCGTCATTTCCCTTTTGGGTGGGAAAGTTCTTTCCTTCTGCATTGATTTTCATTATGACTTAAGCCTTTTTTTCCTCTCTCATCTGCAGATCTCACAATTAAAGTATGACCTATGGATCGCAAAAATCAAGGTGTATAAACTTAAGCACTCAGAACTGGGGCTCAGAAGCCATGAGTTGTTAAATACACACACACAAACACACCTAGAAAAAGAAAAGCTTCCAGGCTCAGGATCCTTTATCTCCACTGGCTGAAACAATGGCTGAACAGCCAACAGGGTGCTGGGTGCATATAAAAGCTTAGCCATGGCTACACAAATGGGGGGCTGCTGTCTAGGGACCTGCAGTCTAAAACCACCCACAGATGGAATGCAAGCACAGTTACTCAACAGTGAGAATTCTGCCAAGAGGAAAAGGGCTAGAAATGGTCCCAGGGAAGAAAAAGGCACCTCTGGTCCCTGCTGTTGACACTGTATATTTGGAAGCCCAAGCTATGAGGGACAGGCACATCCCCACAGCAGAAGGGACTGCAGGCAGCTTCCTCAGCAATCAGATGAAGCACATTACTTGTAAAAGTCCAGAGCTTATTACAAGCAGGCACAAGCACATCCCACACACAGGAATAGTGAAGAGCCTGGGTGGCTATCTGCCAGGGGTGCAGACATCCACATGGGACACAGTATGGACCTTTCAGTGTCAAGACAACCAATTGTACCTTGGGATACATGGTGGCCAAACTAAAAGGGTACAGAGTAATATCCTCCTAAGTTATTAGGAAACATGGACTCACTGAAATCACTTAACGCTGGCTTTTTTGTTCATTGTTTCTTTTTCCCCCTAAGTGACCTTCTTTGAGCCACTACCAAAAAGGAGCATGGGTGATGCCTGGGTCCCCAGCCATGTTAATAGCTCTAGCAGTTTTCACAGGTAATCAGTTTCCTCTCCTCTAATCTTACCTTTCTAACATCCCACCTGAGATCCAACCTTAGATCAGCTGGAAAGCAGGTGCTTGGTAGGAAGTCTTTGTGGGGATATCACGAGATACTCTCTTAAGGACCTTCTAAGAAAAATGTTGGACCACTCTGGCTCCTGCCTACCTGCTCTCTGGGACTCTCACATGCATTCCTCCAGAGCCTCATGCACCTGAAGCCTCCGTGGCTCTCACCTCCCAAAATGAATCAAACTGGGAAGGGTGCAAAGCCAAGACTGGCAGTGTTACCTGCCACACCTGTGAGGTAGTTTGGGTTACTTAAGGCAGAGCAGGAAGGGGCCCAAACTAGCAAAGGAGATCAACTGCAGTTCTTACCTGCTGAGCACCCCAAGTCAGTTGCCTCTGTCCCTCCCCCTGTAACACCCACCTCTCTGAAACGTGTGGGGATTCCCAGCCATAAGAGAAGGAAGGAGACTCATCCAGACAGGACCCTGCAAGTTAGCATCCCTCCCACCCATCCCCTAATAAGACTGGGGCCCCACAGCTGAGAAAGCCTGACTACCAGTCAGAGAAACCGGCCTTCAGGTCCTGGCTGCCTCCTCTGAAACGGTCTCAATCTTCTGTATCCAACTTTTATTTAGGAAACTCACAAACAACACTGTTTCTTATTTTCTTTACTGTGAGGAAGCCAGGAATTGTTCTCTTTCAGGTTCTTGATTCCTTCTCATGGAACTTAAAAAACAATCTATTGTAAGTCATTTAAAGGCAGAGCCACTGTGGTTTGTTATCTCCAGCAGGTCCTTCCAAGCTTTCTCTTCTCCTTTCCCTTACTGTTTCTCAATCTTGTGCTAGTGATTTAGAAATTCACAAGCACTTAGCTTTTTGCAGTGATGGGTGTACTGAATGTTGTTGAGATTTCTGGAGAATCTGATTTTTTAAACTTTTTTTTTTTTTAATCAGAGGAAGCATCCCTAGGTTCCAGGAATCAAGCTAATTCCTATACCAGAAAGTTTGTGTGATAAGAGAAACTTAAATGAAGTGCCAGGAAGATGAAATCTTCCCAGCTTCCACCTAAACTCCAAATACTCAGGAAAGCAAGAAACCTTGCTTTTACAGGAAAACCCTGAGAGCATATGCCTCGTGTCTCTCACAGTAAGGCAGTGGCTACCACCACCTTATTGCTGACTTTGTGCAAAGCACTTTCCGTTTATTTTTACTTTCATTTTTTTCACATTACCACTGGGCAGGCTAGAAGGAAGAGAAATCATTACTTCCATTTCACAGATAGAGAAACTTGAGATCAAAAGAGGTGACATTCCCAAGGTCACAACGGTTTTATTGCTGGAATTCCACTCAGTCCTTAGCATTTCTTCCAGACCTAAAGAAGGAACTGGATAAAAAGGTCCAGAGGAGAGAAGGCGGGTCCCTCTCTGGGCAAGACCGGCAGTGGCTATGTATAGAGCAGCAGCCCACATGGAGAAAGGGGAGGAAGAGGCTCAGGGGCTGCCCTGGGTCAGTGTTTGTTTTGCAGGAGTTCGACCTCGCAATCCCTGAGCCCCACGCTGTCCCTCTAGTCCCTCTGCTTTTAGAGTTAACTAGTAGTGTTTTGTTTCCAACTACAAACTTTGTCCTTTATAATATCCTCAGGGCTGGAACCCTTAAAAAATCAGTTGCTTATATTTGAAAGTAGGGCTCTGTACCTGGAGAGGCCATTTCTGTACCTTTAGGAAAAGAATGGAATTGGGGAATGGGTGGGCCGGATTTATCACCTCAAGGTGGGAGATAAGCTTTTGTAAGGTTTTGGTTTTTTCTTTTTTTTTTCTTAAGGGAGGAGTGTGTTGGAGGGGCGGCGGGGAGTGCGGGTTCGGGTACACCGTGGGAGGTAAGTGTCCCCCCAAGGGGTGGGGAACAGGCCGGTCACACCCCCGGTCCAGCCACCCGCGGAAAGCGCCTGGGAATCCCTCTCTCCGCTCGCTGCCCGCGCTCCCGGCCCACCCGCAGGGGCCCCCGACGCCCGGGAAGCGGAGGGGTCTGGGGCGGGGGCGCGACCCGCTCTCACTCACCCGCACTCCCGCCTCGGGGCGCTCGGCCCGAGGGTCCCGGCCGCGTCGCGGCGCCCGGCGCGGGGCCTGCCTGGCCGGGGCCGGGAGGCGTGGGCGGCGGCGGCTCGCTCTCGGGGCCGCCGCGGGCCGGGGAGGGCGTCCGGCCCCTTGTCCCGGGGGCGGCCGGCAGCAGGAGCAGCAAGAGCAGCAGCGGCGGCGGCCCCCGCGAGGCGCGCGGCGAGGCCATGGTGGCGGCGCGCCGCGCTCACATGCCGGGCGCGCGGGTGGGCGCGGGCGGCCGCGGGCGAGGGGAGCGGCGGCGGCTGCCGCGCGGGGCCGGGAAGTGAGCGAAGTGCGGCTGCGAGCGCCGTCCCCGCCTCAAAAGTTGTGGGAGCCGCGGGAGGGCGGCCGGGGGCAGGGCGGGCGCGCGGCGGAGGCGGCCCCGGCGCCGCTACATGCTAATGAGCCCGGGCGGGGCGCGGCGGGCAGCTCCTCCTCGGGCTGACATCACCGGCCGCGCGGCGGCCCGGGCGGGGGCGGGCGCCCGGAGCGGCCGGCGGGGGCCGCGCGCAGACCCGCAGAGCCGGGCGACTTCGGCCACGCGCGCGCCCCCCACTCGCGTTCGTATCGCTCTGTCATTTGGAGAGAAATGGGAAAAACCGAGTGTTCCGAATGGAGAACAGAATTTCTCAACTTCTTAAATGCACAATCAATCGATGAAAAGCAGGTACTGGCTAATGGGATTTGCACTGACCAGATTAAACGAAGCGTTCTGATGCAGAAGTGGAACCTGTTCCCCCTGCTCCCCACCCCGCCTGGTCGCTGCCCCTCCCAATTTGATGTGCCCACCACCACCGCCACCACCGCTACTCCTGCAGGCCCCAGGGCTGGTGCTGAGTTCGCTGTTGCCAAGCCTAACACCTCGTCCTGCCGCCAAAGCGGGAGTCATCCTATTCCCATCGCGCCCTGTCCAGCCAGGATTCCATCCCCATCCGACCACTGCCTTTGGCTCACACCAGAGTGCTGCAGAAATGTCACCACCAGGACACCCAAACAGGCTGCAGGGAAAAGAAAACTGTGAATTCAGTCAGGGCTAGGCAAACTTGCAATCGGGAAAAGGGTTGCAGATTGCAGATTGAACAAAAGCACACACAGAGATCACTGAATTTTAAATGTAAACCTTCGGGACAGATTCAAAGATACAGTCTGAACAAATTTTCCTGGTAAACAAAGTTCTATTTGTGTCAATAACCCTCCCTTCCTAGTAGATAAAGGATAAAATGTCTAAATTTTAGAACTGGGAGCCTCTGCATTTCTAGGTGAAGAAAGAATGCCTCACAATGAGAAAATACCTTGCTCAAGATTCTGAAGCTAGACCCAAAGATTAAGGGACTTATCTGTGAATGAACGTGTGGCATCATTAATTCTGGTCCCATAGTTCAGAGTTTGCAATATTCCAGACTGTCTCACTGAAACCAATACTGGAGCTCCTGGAGGGCCAGGGGTGTCTCATCAGTTGAACTGGGGACCCCTTCTGACCACCAGATGCTCAGGAAACTATGAATAAAGCTTTCCTTTCAGGCCTGTCTTTCCACCCCATTTCTCAGCTCCTCTCTGTTGCTGTCTGCAGAGCTCCAGGATCCGCCTCCAGGGGAACAAGCAGGTTGTGGTGTCCAGGGCAGCTGCAGATGGACCCAGGTCCACTTTCTGGTGACTCAGTCCAAATGAGTCAGCTGGCAGAAAACATAAAGGATGCTCAGAATAAACAAGCTCTCCTTAAATCGGGTGTGAAGAGTAGCAATTTGGTTTTATTTTATTTTGTTTTTAAAGAGCCACAAAACAAACCCAACTTTTCAGGACTCTTACGTGGAATTTACAGGTCTTTCCAAGAAAGTACTATATAGACACCTCCCTGTAAGTAACATGGTTTGCTCTCATGGCCCAGCTCAACTTCTTGAGATCCTGCTCTCATATTAACAGGCAGGACTGCCCAACTGCCCAGACACAGCTAAATAAGCCCCAACCAGCATGATGCTGTTCTCAGAGCTTCTGATCACTGTTGCTCCCTCCCTTCCTCAAAGAATGTTTCACATGGCATGAGCTGCCCTCCAAGGAAACCAGTAACATTCAGGGGTTTAAAATGCCCCTTACAGGTTTCTCGTGTGAATTCAGATATCCTACTAGAGAATCTGCCTTCACTGCCAAGGCCCAAGGAGCAGACATGCCCCTGCCACACGTTGCTCCCCTGCAGGCCCCAGGGATTCATCTCTCTCTAATATGCTCTGCCTCCTAAGAGCAATGACCAAGTTCACATCAGCTGGTTAGGACTTAACCTGTGGATGAGGAGGGGCAGACACAGGAGAACCTGGAAAGCCTGATCACAGTGCAGATGGACCCCAGCCCGTCTTCGTATTCTCCTAGGACAGAACAAGAGAGCTGGAGGTAGATAAAACCTTGGACAGAGTAGTCAGCTTGGTCTTAACGCCATTGTTTCTTGTCCTGACTTTACCACTGTTTAACTGTGTGATCTGGGCCTCAGTTTCCTCATCTGTAAAAAAAAGATTGTCTTGGATGATTGTGAAGGAGCACTCCAGCTCTGCTGTTCTAGGGCTCAGACCTCTGACACAGCTGCAAGGAGGTATGAAACAGGTGTTTAAAGATATTTGTAGTATGTCCTTCCCAGGATAAAAATCCAGACAAGATTTCTACTCACCTCAGATGGCTTAGAAGAGGCCCTGTCTGGAGCCAGGGGGATAAATCAGGTGACAGCTCAGATCCATTCCAGCTCTGGGAGTCTATCTAGAACTAAACAGGTGGGAAGCCTGCTCGGACCAATTTCCTAGACTGAGTGAGTTAGGAGTCAGGCATTCCTAACCTCTCCAGAAGTGAGAATGGGGACATTCTAAGGCGGCTGATGGTGAGACCAGCAGCAAGCCCAGTGTCTGTACCACCCAATGCTGTATGTAGTCAGAACTTATGCACAGGTGTTCCTGTCTTACTTGTGTTAATTAGATTAGGGTTAAGCTAGGCTGCAGTAACAAATAGGCCCTCCAAATGCAGCAAAACAGGTGTTGTATTCATCCTGTTCACTTACAGCCTTAGACACTGATGTTCAGCTCAGGAGTGGTCTTCATAGAATCTTCAGGCTTCCACACTACAGCAGCTCTGCCACTCTTGAATGTATGGCTTCCACAGTTGCCCTTGGAATTGACATCCCAATCAGGGAGGGGTGAAAAGAACATGGAGCTGGGAACACAGGAGGTTTTGATGGACCATGCCTAAAAGTGGCATATTTCACATCCTCTTATTTCCCACTGGACAGAACATGGTCATGTGACTCACCAAACTGCCAAGGGGTTGGGAAATAGAGGCTAGCCATATAGGCAAAGAAGGGGAGAGGGTATTTGTATAGGCAGCACTCTCTGTCCTACCCACATGATATCAGTAGGGCAGAGAAGTGAGAGGGTTAAAGGAGAATGATTGCTCTAGCCTCCGTTTCCTCCTTTAAAAAGCAAGGGTGTTGGATCACATGATCTCTCAGGGCCCATATGCTTTAGTGTTCTGTGGTTCTAAGAGGCAATGACAGGTCCTTCCACACAAAGGACAGCCAGCCTGTGGGCTCCTGCTGCTGCACATGCCCTGCCGGGGAGGCCCCTCTGCCAGTTGCTCTGCCTGCTGGACCCTGGAGAGAGGACCTTAGGTTCTCTCCAGCTTCTGTTCCTCAGCTGTTCTCACTTCTTGGCCAAGTCAAGTGATCTTTATTGACCTCAGTCTCCCCAGCTGTACAATGGGGAGAAAAGTCATTACCCTTTGCTGCCTCCTGGAGTTGGACTGAGGATATGATGAGACCACTGTCCAGAAAGCAGCAGGAGCTCTTCCAGTTGAAGTGCTCCACGTGGTGCTCTTGCTGTAACCAAAGCCTTTAATCACACTGCACTCTGAACAGGCCCAAAGTGTGCAGTTCCTGAGGAGAGAGCCCCTGTAGGATCTGTGGCAGTGTGGAGTGGCATGCCAAATCAGTAACCTCATAGGATGAGGGTCCTGAGGGCTGAAGGATCAGTCCATAGACATCTGACTGAGCTTCATCCGGGGCGGTGAGCTGGGCCTAAGCACCACCACTCCTCTAGCCTGCTTCTCTGCTATGTGCTCATCACCCTGCTACTCTCTGGGTCTGTTTACTCCTTCTCTCATCTGCTTGTCCCCTGCCTAAATAAATCTATGTGCTGCTCTCTGGGAAGTTCTGGGCCTATTCTCTTTGGGTCCCCACAACCTCACATAATACCTTCTTTCTTTTATTTCATCATTCAGCAAATATTTACTAAGTGACTACTCTGTGCCTGACACTCTGTTAGCACTGGGCAAGTCTTAGACTTCACAGAGACTGAAGGTTTGGGGGAGATAGACAGTAATCAAAAGAACATAAATATTAAACTGTTTCTGTGGAAGGGTCTTGGGTTTTTCTGAAAGCTGTGTGGGCTGTTAATACGTAGGCTTCTAATCAGGCAAAGGTGAGTGAGCAGAGTCTGTGCAAAGGCCCTGAGACAGGAGAGAGTGGAATAAATGTAAAGGACCAAAAAAAAGCCAATGTGGCTGGAGCAGAGGGGCAGGAAAAGCATGGAGGAAATGAAACTGGAGACTTTGAAGCAACAGATTGGCAGACCCTAGTAGCCAATTTTAAAGACTCCTGCTTTATTTTAATAATTTAGGGAAGTCATTTTAAGGTTTTAAGTAGAGGAGGTAGGTAGGAGTGGAGAAGAGAAAGGGGTGAGGAGTGACATGACTTGCAATTGGAAATCAGCATTCTGGCTATGATAAGGGGAATGATTTCAAAAGAAGCAAGAGCTGATGCCGTAACTCTTGGAATCCAAGTGAGAAATGATAATTCTTACACAAAGATGATAGCTGTAACTTCAAAGAAGAGTTTGGATTTGAGATTGTAGGAAGTAAAATCCCTAAGATACATTGATGGATATGGAGGATGAGGGAGAGAGGTCACAGATGTCCTGAGTTTCTGGCTTTCATGATTAAATGGACAGTGGTGGGCAACAGTGGATAAAAACTAGATCTTTGAGGTCAAGATCATTAACTTTGCTTTTGACTAGGATCTGGGGTGACTTTGAGACATCAAAGTGGTGATGTCAAGTATGCATTTAGATCTGCAGACTTGGAGCTGGGAGGAGTGACCAAATTTGAGGTCTAGATCTACATCCAAGGGAATGAGATCACCCAGGGAAGAGAGTCATGTAGTAAGTGAGGAGAGCC